TCAAACTATAGGCCTACCTCAGCTTCAACAGCTTGTCAATCAGCTTCTCATTATATAATTATCTGCTTAATTCACCATAGAATTTGATGTGTCAAAATTGGAAGCATGTTTTGCAATAACTCAAGAGTATGATATATGATTATAGATCATTTGGAGATGACATGGAGTAACAAGTTTATGAATAGAGAAATTATCAGAAAGTTCATAGATATCCTTTAAAAAATCAAACTATTTTCATTTCAAATGGAGAAGTGAAGAAAATAAACCTAAATTCGAAAACATTCATGAATCACTTAAACTGACATTGACAAAAGTTATATCTAGTAAAGAAGCACCGACTGAGTTCCTTTTGAAGAACATATTGAACAACTTTGTCCTGATCAAAAAAACATTCTCCATAAAAGATACAAAAAAAATAGTAAGCGTTTGTAAATTTTCATAGTTTTTCCTATATAGTGACATGACTCTGCAAGTAACTTTATTTGGGGATATGATTACCAATGAATGATCAATTTTTAAATGCACGATCAAAGATAAACATGTAATAGCACTGTCAGATTTCAAAATCTTTAAATATGAAGGTAACATATTTTACTTCTAAATTTTTTTATTAAAATTCACATTATATCTGTCTCAAATTTGTGTGGGAAATATGCATGTCATCGTAAATTATGTTAATAATACATATCAACCCAAAGATACAACTTATTGAAGAAATAAGAGAATGATAAGTAAACCAAGTAAACATTTATATAACACAATAAAGGAAAAAAATTACACTTTACAAGCTAATATGCATGACTCTTTCAGAATAAGCTGCTAAAATGAAAGCATATCCATCAAGGCTCTTTACAAATACCATACAAATTTAAACTATTGATATATATAATCATCACAACATTCAAAGAGATATGTTCTTACAAGACCTACTCTAAAATGTACACAATTAAATTTAAAAATACTCTACCAATATACAAATACGCTATTGGACCTATAATGTAAAGATAACTACCATTTACAATATAGTTGAGCCGTGGTTCTAGCTTGCAAAAGCTATAACAAGAAGATGGATAACGATGTTACTAAGAATGTCCAAATGATAAATGCCATAGAATCACTAATGATGTAATACCAATATTGAGTAATATCCCTTCTTCATGAAATAAACATATCAAAATTAAATATTAACATTATAATCTAAGACTATTTGATAATAAAAAATATAATTATTTAGTTCAAATTCTTGTAGAAAATGACTCAAATAGAGCAAAAAAAAGTATTATTTAACGCAAACAGAAACTCTTATTGGATGTACACAAAAAAAAATTCATTGCAAAGAGAAAAGAGATAGATCCTAACCATATTTAAAAAATAAATTAGAAACACAAAAAAATGTATATATGAAATTAACATTTAATCTCATTAAGACACAAAAATAATCAAAGTCTGTATTTTTTAAAGTTTCTATTGAATATCAAAAATATATTTAACTTCTTTGTGAAGTAAGACGAGAAGACAGATGATGAACGAGCTCATAGAAAAATAACATCATAAGAAATTCAGCTCCAACCTGATATCACAATCAACGTAGACAACGAAGACACAACTCTAGAATTGCTTAGGAAGAAGATAAATGTAAAGAAGGATTGGTTTTAACTTAATAAAAAAACAAAACAGAAAGAATAAAAGATTTGTTTTTCGAATTTTATAGAATAGCTTAATTTTTTGAGTAAAAAAACAGAAAGAATAAAAGATTTGTTTTTCGAATTTTATAGAATAGCTTAATTTTTTGAGTAAAACCAGGAATATTTAGAATATAAAAGATTTGTTTTTCGAATTTTATAGAATAGCTTAATTTTTTGAGTAAAACCAGGAATATTTAGAATGGATTCACATCAACTCATTTAAGTATTTTCATATGGTTATGTGGATGATTTTATAATATAAAAGTGTACTAGAGTTATCATTAATCTTTAGTTTATGATTTATTCTGAAGTTTATGAATGATTAGTAATAAACTTCATATTCTCTTTAGTTTCGCTCTAATCATCTTGGCTTATTGGCTTTAATTTTTCATCTTTCTTTTATAACGCTATTTTTAAGTAATTTTCACTTTTACAACATTATACTTTCTCAAACCAAGCTTTGTTTCATGTTGGTCCAAATAACGTAAAAATTCAAATTAGTTTTAGATTACATTTGTTTCCTAGCAATTCAATTATCAATCATGAAAATTTAAATTTAGTGTAGCCCATTCAAACAATCATCAAAGAAAATAAATAATCACAGTGCTAAAGTTTAAAGATATAAGTGAACAAAAACAATCGAAGTGGAACTAAGAAATAAATTTTAGTAAGAAAATAAATTAAAAATATTTAATCATGGTATTTAACCACGTGTATTATACATGCATAAAACCTAGTACTAATAAATAGAGGTGTTATATTAGATTAATGTGTTTATAACTCACAAATAGTAGATCACGTGTCCACATTCTGGGTTGAAGGAAGCAATGACAATATTTTATTTAAGAGAAAAATTATTGAGTTGATGATCAATCCCACAAAAAAACTTTATTTTCTTTTTTATTTTTACTCTATTGTTATTAATTTAAATAATCATGATATTCAACCACGTGCATTGCACGTGCATCTTAACTAGTAGTTATTTAAAATTATAAGTAGGTGGTTTGATGAGAAAGGCTCAAGATTGAGGGGGTTCTGTGAGACAACCTGTTGTTTAAGGGCGTTAAGTGACTGAGATAAACGAAGTTTATGGCATGAGCGTTTTGTGACTAAGATAAACAAAGTTTATGAGAGTTATGTTTATGACATGGGCGTTTAGTGACTGAGATAAACAAAGTTTATGAGAGTTATGTGTAAACCCCCAATTCCAAAGTTCACGAAGATTATGTGAAAATAACTTATAGATTGAAAACAAATCGAATCGAAGTAAATACTTTAGTGTTCGTATTATATTTGTTAAAAAATTTAATTCCAATGAGAATTTGAATGCCATTTTGATTTTTTTTTTCGAATTTCAAATACAAATACTTTTCAAATATTCATGAATATTTATTGAATACCACAATACATTTATTTGATTAACATAAATTACAGTTTATGAATGCTAAACTATGTAAATTAAGAAATACTTTTATTCGGTTAAAGTATGCATGTAACAATACAAAACTATAGGGAATACAACTCTAAACAATATACACGATAAACAAATGAATCAAATATACATCTGATTAAACTTTATTCTTTAACAAACCACACACTAAAAACTATTTAATGTTAAATGAAGTACCAAATTGAATATAATTGAATTGTTAGATGAAAAATTAACGAACTGTTTATTAATTATTTAGTTCATTTCCACTCTTAAGTGTAATTACAGAAGTGACCAGGTTTGAGCCCGTGTATTTACACTACTAACCTCGTATACACACACAGGTAATTTTGATATTACCGATTATTCTTACATGGATAGCCCAACTTCGTACCGATCAACCTGACATGGATAATGGTTTTCTTGCCAGACGTTAATAGAATTAAGTTTAGAGATGTGATTAGGATTAAAAGAAAAAAATTAAAGTTAAAGTGTCATTGTTAGAACAATGAACATTCATTCTCCAAACCTATAACGTAAATGCCAACAAGTAGACTCCAAACCTATAACGTAAATGCCAACAAGTAGACGCGCTTAGTAATACAAATTTAGATTTGAATAGGTAGGCGCACAAATTTGGATTATGATTTGGTAAGGGTGCGCCGGGCCCATGTAGTAGTATTTGAATAGGTAGGCGTACAAATTTGGATTATGATTTGATAGGGGTGCGCCAGGCCCATGTAGCAGTGCAACACATGAGCGACGCTCGAGAGCCCCAGCAGCAAGCTGCTGTGATGGGTCCTCCCCCAACAAAAATTAATTTAATATCATAGTGGGCCGATGGCCCACGTATCAGATATTAAACTGATAAGAACAGATACTACACTTGATCTTAGCCAAAAGGCCGAGAAAGGTATGCTTTCAAACGTCGTTTGACGGTTCAATTAATAGAGCAGCCTACTCTCTTCACGTCTCATTGCAGTCGATGTGGGACTAATAGCTTGTCATAGAAACGACAGCGAAGAATCTTCACCAAACACTAGAAGGACACACATCATATATGGGCAAATAACTGACACTTATAAGCAACAGATAATAATAATAATAAACTCGTCGTTTTATCGCCCCATTATTTCTTCCCTAGAAGAGAAAGTTGCTTTCAGTCTTTTAGTCATTTGCTTCTTTTTTCCCCTTTGAATGATATATATTTGCGCTTTCAATTTTTCATCAGCTTCGGCAGGGAGGAAATTTAAGTGGCCCAAATGACAAGCATATTCTCGAAGCAAAACAATCACAAATTAATTATATTGTAGTAACAATCACAAATTAATTATATTTTAGTACCTTGAGGTATAGTGTAATTACACGGATGACCCTAGAGTCAACATATCTACATGGGTACTTCTAAGATTATTAATTGTAATTTCATAGGTGATCCTAGAATCTATTGCATGTTACAATCATTTTTTTTTTCCTTTTCTCTGTGATTTGGAGTTCTTTTCAAATGCAGGTTAGCGTTAGCGTTAGGTTTTCCACTAGGATTAGAAGTGGGATTAGGACAAGGATTGCAAAAATATACGACTAAACTTTCATTGTTGCACTTCTAACTATAACTCTAGTAGTCAATATTTTTTGCTATAACTGTAGCCATATAATCTACTCCTAGCAATAACCATAACCATGGTTTTAACTAACATTCAAAAAAAACTTCAAATTAGCATGACCAAACGTCATGCAAGGTGTTGTCAGATTTCATGGTGACCAACATAATTAAAATCAGTACATCCAGGTTGCCCATGTAAATACCCAAAACTCCAGGATGACTGGTGTAACTACACCAAATACATGACTGATGAGATGAGAATAGACCAGTCATCAAGGATTAATTACCCTGAAATCTGATCACATGTATTTGGTGTTAAAATAAGTAGCTCCAACAAAGGAAAGTTTCTTCGGGCACAAATTGCAGTTGCAAAAACATCCAAGACATAATCCTGACTTACAAGAAAAGAAGGGCGAGAAGCTTAGATCCAGAGTATGTCATTGAGTTTAGTCATCAAAGGAATAGGCTGGGCTCCACAATCAATGTGATGTCCAAACAACTCATAACAATAGGTGATGGTGAAGCACAGCCATACATAAATTGATACATCCAAGTTGCTTCCCAGAGTCTTGCCCCCAGCTTCAACAGTTAAATACTAAGAGAATAAACTTCATCTCGAAGTCCTAGAAGCTATACTTTCACAACTCTGTCGAAGGTAAAATATGTTTAAATCTCATTGGCCTTCCTCATTGAGGATCACCACCTCGTTCCTGTTGCTCCTTCTCTTCTGCATCCTCAAACCGCTGGTCATTGATATGTAGCTGCAGAGAAGAAAATGTCCGTTTACATAGTACACAAAGGCTCAAAATTTGGTTTAATTGACACTATTCATACTTGAATTGCCAGGAAGGCAAAACCTAGTCAAAGATAAATTCAGAACGAACTATCTCTTGGATGATACAAATCATTCCTTTTGATCTACATGTTAAAAGTAATTTCAGAATGAACTATCGACTTTGACTCTTTTAGGGTTAATTGTGGATAGACCCCCTATACTATCATCAAATTGAATCTACTAACCTAATAGTTCTATAGCTGCAGATAGACCCCTTGAAAGAATTCTACTGGTGCAGACAGACCCCAAAGTGAAAATCTACTGTTGCAAATAGACCCCCAAGTAATTTCAGAATATAATGAACTTTATACGCAACTAACCGTTTTCTATTGATGCATCTATAATATCTTTTTCCTCATTTGAAAGGCAGGAGTTTATGCAATTCTGTGGCAACACCCGACTGAATGCTCTAAAATAGGTGCATAAGAATCATGAAATGTTTAGCATGTTCTAGATCAATATTTATTAGTGGGATCACGTGAGAATACTTCTTTTATAAGGAGAACATATTAGTCTAATATGCTTTATACACCTAAAATCCCTATTAGTATGGAATTTCAAATAATCCCTTTACCAATTCAGGTGAGACATGAAATAAGCGTAGATTAACACACCAGAGCTAACCATTACCAAGACAATTCTTCTTTGTTTCTCCATTTGTTTCTGCTGTTCTTATTTTCCTGTAATGCATTTTGATACACTGATGCTCAAGGCTAAAGGATGAATTTGGATCTACCAGTTGAATAACTTGGATCATGCATCTTAGATTCATATGATATCAAAACAAAAAATAATTTTCTAGTGTGGTTAATGACCTAATTGGTCTTGACGCATCAAATGTTTGACTTCCCTGGAAGTACGATTTCTTAAACTAAATGTTTCTAGGATAACTGCATACATCAAATCACTTTTCCTTGATAACTGAGTCAGAATTATAAAAAGATGAACACTGCCATAAACTGTATTCCTCAGGTAAAGATAAATACACCACAAGCGCCAAAGCTTACAAAGGCAAGTACTTGACGAACTGCACATCTCAAGGTTGTCCATTACTCAGAATATGACAATGCCTGAAGTAATGTGTTCCTAATTTTCAAATAGAACAGTGATGCCATATATAATTGAGTATTTTACTTCTCTAACAGATGGATTAAATTAAGCTCATAAATCAAAGAAAAAATTATCATGACGAGAAACATGAAACAGAGCTTTGGAGTTCACAAGTACCATGGAGTAATAAAAATTGATCAAGAAATTCACCTCTAATACTGTTTGAGCAAGGTCATGATCCCCATTTGCCTGACCAATAGGGTTGGCTAGATTATCTGAAAAATGCCACTCAGAATCATTTCCTACAAGAAAGCAGAAACTTTGATATTGATACTAACCAAGAACAGAACAAAATAAAGATAATCCACATGCGATTTCTTACCAATGCCATGGGCATTCATCCCTTCATCGCCAAAAAACCACGTATTTTCTTCCTCTCCATCTTAATGCAAATAAGAAACAATCATAAAAAATAGATAAGTAGTGATTAACTAAATAAGAAACAAAAGATCAATAACTAACCTGCATTAGGTTCAGGATTTAGTTCAGCACATTCACAGAAAATGTCAAAGAGAGTATCTACTGTTATAACAAAGTCAAGGATACAGATATAAAGAGATATATAATATGAGTACACAGTATAAGATCCTATTCCTAATTCTTAGAATGTCTGTCATTTTTTGAGAATACCCCCTTGCATTATAAGATCGTGAATAATGAATATGGATTCAAATACAGCCAGTCTGGCATTTGATTCAAGTTCCACACATACAAATATACAATCGTGTAGACACCTACAAGAATAGGACTCACTGCAAAGATCTAAGCCTACCAGAATAAAGAACCTTGAACATATTCACCAACAAATATTGAAACATGATGCAGATAGATACAGGCATTCATGAAAAAGAAAAGGAAAATTCACTGAATTTGATTGAAATAGCTGAAGAGAAGGATACATTGACTGGGATCAGAGGGCACAAGCCTCATCTCGGTTATCTTTGATAGATCTACATTCTCAGCACCATCTGGATCTGAATCCTCAGAGTCTGAATCCCCATCGGCTTCTGTCTCAATCTTAAAATAAGACAAACACATGTTTCAGGAGTAAAAAAAAAGTACGTTAATGCAGTGTTCATCCGTAAGTGAATAAGCACCAAAGACAAGTGGAAGATGAATGTAACAATCACACAGATCTGATTTCTAGATATGCTCTTTAGAAAATGAATTGGACAACTGATATAACAAATGTAAAAAAAAAAAAAAATCATTCCCACAGCAATTGCAAGATAACTTTAAGAATATATTTCTGTTAAAAAGAAACTAAAGGAAAAAAAAAAAGGTCAGTAGCCAGCTTCATATCAGTAGCTTTATGTTTGACTCGCTTTGTGCGTGTTGTGCAATAGACTTGTGAATTTTTGGCAATATACTCATATATTACTTATTATTTGCCGAAGCAGCCATGGACAAACTTGCACATAGCAGTATCAAACATCAAACATACATTACTCCACGCCCTCCAAACCCATGAACGTGTACGTAACCAAATTGCCGAGGATGAAATTTATGCATAAATTCGCCGATGTCAGGCCAGATCGAAACACACGCTCTGATTCACTTCGATTTGCCTTTCTTTTCTTTTCATTTCCCCCCTCATAACTTCAGAAAGAGAATCCGACCAAAACAGCTAAGCATCCATCACGACCTACAACAGACTGGAGCTTACAACAATTTATGCCAAACCCTCTTCATCTGCCCTCGGATTTAAAGTTGAAATACACTTAATTGAAAGCCACAGCCTCTACGTAGAACTAAGAAATATGATGTTTAGAAGAAGAAGAAAAAAAAAAGAGGGCAAATACAAAAATCCAAGTACCTGAGTGTAGATGCACGGCGAGGGGTACGCCTCGGGATCGGTCGACACGGCGTGCAGTGAAATCGACAGGAAATCCACTGCGTAGCCCTTGCTTTTGTCCGTATCGCTCAGCCACATCACTCTCCTTCATCCTCTTTAGAGTTCAGTTCAAACTCAAAAAGGCAAAAAGTAGAGGGGCGGGGCGGGGGGGGGATGAGCGATTAGATCGTACTTGGTAGAGATGTAGAGGGTTCCAGGGGATTCCGGCGGGCGGCGGCCGAGGGCGACGGCGACGGCGGCGCTGCACGTGCATCATCTCCTCGTCGGCGGCGGGGTCGAGGAGTGGTTGGCCGTTTCCTTCGCCGGCGGCGCTCGACAAGTGCTGTAACCCTAGGACCATGGTCGCTCTTTTCCCTTTTCCCTCTTTTCTCTCTCTCTCTCTCTCTCTACTTTGCTCAGTGTACTCGTACTACTCGCGAAAAGCAAGTAATTTTTTAGCCCTCTGATGCTGATGCCCTCAAGTAGCAAAGGTTAATTTCTTTACAAGCGCATTGCAGTTCGGAACTGGGTCGGGTGAAAATTTAATGATTATACTAATCTAACAGAAAATTGATTATTGAATTTACTGCTAAATTTCAATTTTCAACTAAATTTTAAATCTTTTTAGACTAACGAGTATGAATTAGTATTCAAAATTGAACAAATCCCAGCAAAAGAGAGAGAGAGAGAGAGAGAATAAACACTAGGATTCTGGAATTACTTGGTCATCATAGTATAGTAGGAATAGATAGGAAATACTCATAAACAGTAGTTAATTAGTAATTCGATCTCCAGTCTAGAATCAATCATAGATTAATAGAAAAATGTAACATGTTTAGGATGACTTATAGTTATTAAGATTAGAAAATATGGTTTAAGTGATATTTGCTCTATACAACATATTTTTGAAAATTTCTTTTTTTTTTTTTGAGAAAAAGGATGGATTACCAACATAGTAATCCAGCCAGCTAAATTAAACAAAATTGGTTGTTACAAAAAAAGTATTCATCCCCAACCAAGAATGAATACCCTGGATTGTCAAAGTTTTACAGTCAGATTCACCTAAATTCTTCACCCCCTAGCAATTGATAACAAAATATCAAAAACTGTATCAAAAGACCAACCCATATACATTTTTTCATATTTAGACCACAAAAGCAGACTTCTTTCTTGAGCTTAGTCTTCATTCCAGCAGATCAATCACCCCCCCAGCTGTGGAAATTGAAATTCCAGCAACAGAAGCAGCTTTTTTCCTCCTCCTCTCTTGTAGTCTAGCTGCACGATCAAATATCTGAGAACCTATCCAAAATTTTGCAAAAGTCAAAATTTTGTTCAAAAGTTCTAATGATCTCCTTTTCTTATTTGAAAAAATTCTATCATTTCTTTCCTGCCAAATACACCATATCAGAGAACAAAGAATCACATCTCTCTCTATGTTCCCACTATCATACTTCTCATCACTCCAGTTCTTCCAAATATCTTTTAAGGAAGATAACTTGAAATCTTTCTTGATATTCAATTTAAACTGGACAGATCTCCAAATAGAGTATACAAACTCACAATTAACAAAAAGATGAAGGTGATTTTCCTCCTCCTTGGAACAAAAACAACACAGCACATCCATGTGAATACCTTTCTTTACTAAATTCTTTTTCGTATTTAAACTACTTCTCAAAGCCAACCAGACCAGAAATTTCACTTTTAGAGGAACAGAAAGCTTCCAAAGATTTAAGCAGTCATACCTTGAGCCTCCATCAATAAGAAAATGATAATATGTTTTAACAGTAAACTTGTCTTTTGCTTCCCAAATCCACTTTCTCTTATCCTCCCTGTGAACAAAATTAATAAGCATAATACTGTTCAACATATCATAATATTGAAAGACCAGATTTCCTGTCAGCTGTTTTTGAAATTTAATATCCCAAATCCAATCATTATTTAATTTTTTCCTCAAACTGGTAATAGTAGCATAAGGGAATGATGCAATGTTATAAAGAGAAGGAAACATAGAAGCCAGAGTATTTGCACCTGTCCATTTATCAAGCCAATAAAGAGTATTATGTCCATTCCCCACATCTATACTAGTACTGCATAAAAAGCTATCAACATTAATAAAAATAACCCTCCAGAAATGAGATAGGGATTTTTTGTCAGAACAAAAATAATCTGACCAGTTCTTATTCTCAAAATACTTATAGAAACTTATTTTTTTCCAGAGATCTATCTTATCATCAAACCATTTCCAAATCCATTTTCCCAACAAAGCTTTATTCATAGTTCTCAAATTTATAATACCCAAGCCACCTAGCTTTTTGGGTCTGCAAATCTCTTCCCATTTAACCAAATTAGATGAATTTTTGTGTTCCAAAGACCCAGTCCATAAAAATCTTCGCCTCATCATATCTATTTTATCAATAAGCCACCCTGGAAATAAGAAAAAAGACATCCAAAAAATTGGCATAGAGGAAAGAACTGCATTAACAAGCACTAATCTTCCTCCCCTTGATAAAGACTTTCCTTTCCATAAGGACAATCTTCTTTCAAACTTATCAATAATAGGAGACCAATCCTCTTTTTTTAATTTTCCAGGTCTCAAAGGAACCCCAAGATAAGTGATAGGAAAACCCCAAGATAATGTAAATCCTCTTTTTTTAATTTTTGAAAATTTCTTATTCCAACACCTTAATGGACTCCTTATGAGATTTGATACACACAACGAAACTCCTCTTCATTCATTTGACATAAGCTAAATGGCGTTAGGAGTCACAGCAGGTCTTCTTTTTTACTGTCTTCATTTTCACTATGCTAGTGTTCCGTAGAACTTGTCTGGTTTTGTATTCGAATTTTTTGGGGGAATAAAAAAATTTATTTTCTGAAAACTTCGAAGTTTGAAGACATTTTCTTTGATTTCCCCAAGCGCAAGAGCATTTACATTAATTTATTTAAATAATAAGCCAATTCGAAATTCTAAAAGAAAAATTTCTCAATGACCCAAAATATGAGACCAATAGGGGGGACAAGTGAGGTGTTCCCCTCCTATTGGATAATGAGTTGGTCATCATTGAGTTGACCATCATTAATGATGACCAACTCATTATCCAATAGGAGAGGAAAACCTCACTTGTCCCATCTATTGGTCTCATATTTTGGGTCACTGTAGCAAAGCTCATTCTAAAATTAACTTCATCTTTTGTAAAATTTTGAAAGTAAACTTATCGCGACAAATTCTGAAAATAAACTTAAGGCATTCACTGAAAAAAGAGTTGTAAATGTTAGATATAGGTGCCCTGCAGATAATAATTGTATATTATAACAAGATCTATATGAATATAACATCCTTATCCAAAATGATAGTATGTTATTTTGGTCAGTATTTATTTGGTATTTTTAAATATAGATAAAGTCCTTAGAATAATACTTGACTATCAGAATATCGATGTTGATCGTAATGATGAAGAGATCTGATTAGTCGCTAACGTATATTCTAAAATGTTTCTAGTCGATGAAGTGTTGAGATAGTACATCATCACTTTGACAAGACTAGTGTATACTCTATTTATCCCTTTGAAGGACGATGATCCATCTCTTAGATCATTGATGTGGAGACATCAATATACAATATACATGTGACTCATTAGTGAATGGGTTGACTGAACGACTCACCGAGAACATCTAGTTGGTAATTATACTTAACTGTCAAATAAAAGTTCTCAAGGTTGACTGAACGACTCACCGAGAACATCTAGTTGGTAATTATACTTAACTGTCAAATAAAAGTTCTCAAGTGATATAGTACAAAGATCTAGTTGGTAATTATACTTAACTGTCAAATAAAAGTTCTCAAGTGATATAGTACAAAGTAGTCTCTTAACCTAAGGCATGAGTGCAATATCTTACATGTTAGTATATGTGTACTTAGACTGTTACCTAACCACAATTCTCATTGAGTTGTGCATAACGGTTAGGGGTGCTAAGCCGTATCTGTATCTGAGGAAATATCTATAATCGTATCTGTTAGGATACGGATGTGGTTACTCAAATCTATAACCGATAGGATATGGTTACATATATGATTTTGTAGTGAAATATTTGTATTTGTATCCGAAATATTCGAATATATATTAGTCATACTCTTACGATAGTTCTGATTCTTAGATTATGGATTTGTTGTTAATTTTGATGATCAAAATGTCTAATCTTAAATTTTCAGTTATAATGAACATATTAACGAACTTTTTTGTATCGCATGAACTATGTTTTTCTTAATACTATCTAGTTTTCTCATATCCATTTTTTATCCTCAAGCATATCTGATTATATATCCGCATGTATATCCGTAATCGTATCCGATTTTAGCGGATATGATTATGAGTTTTTCTTACCGAGGTATATCCGTATCCATATCCGTATCCGTTATGTGTGAGCAGATATGGATATGGTAAGCATCATATCCAAGTCGTATCCGGACCGGATGCACCCGTAATAACGGTTCTTGTTGGGTGCATCCCGAGACATAAGTAGATATTGAGTAACTAAGATGAGATTCGTCTCTCCCAGTATAGGGGTTTGATGTCATAAGATTGTTTGATATAACTATAACATGAAAATCCTTGGTCGAGGTGAATAAGATAAACAGAGTGTCAGTTTGATCTTATAGGTTATGAGTTTAATATTGACAAACACTAATCAAGTTATTAGGGTTTAACAGTTTACCATACTCTAGGCTCAATAGTTTGACATTGTTTGATGAATAGACTGACTGTACGGTATTATCACTGAGTGGTCCTGATAAAATTGGGTAAGCATCTTGCAGACCTCTATTACATCTTATACCTGAGTAGTCTTCATGCGTAACTAGCACCTCCGTTGTACTTGTGGATATGATCCACTGCCGAGTTTTAAGTTGGGCCTTAGAGTCATACCAAGCGCGTACTTGAATCCTATGAAATACAAATTTATAGAGTAATGCGTATGATTAATACACATATATGATTTTTTTCGGATACACATAAACAGTTATATGTATCGGTAAAATTAGAATGCTATGTGTTTAAGAAATGTTTTTCAGATTTTTTTTCATAAAGTTAACTTTTAATCAACTAATTGACGTTTTGGTCAACAATTGACTTTAGTCAACTGGTTGACTTTTTGGTCATATGATGACTATTAGTTAAAGATTGGAAAAATATCAAATACCGTATTTATGAAATACCGTATTAGTAATAATGATGTGGTATTTGCATTTATGAAATACACATTTCATTATACCATGATTAATGAGTCATGAGATGAGTCATTAAGTGGTATGGTTTGGGAACATGGTTTTAGGCACAGGGGTTTTAATTTTTCATGACTCATTACATGACTCATGGGATGAGTCATTGCATGACTCATGAATTGAATCATTACTTTTGATGACTCATGAGATGAGTCATGATATATCTTACTTTATAAATGTGATCTCTCTCTCTCTTATGGAAAGATTAATGAATGAACGAATAAAAATTTGGTTTTCCATAAGAGAATAAAAGAGAATTCTACCTCTTACTAAACTTTAGCAATTTTTGAGTAAAAGAAAGTAGTAGGATTTTAAGAACCCCGTGGTGGATATCTTGTCTTATGTCTCAAGAAGTCTCTAATTTTTCACGTTCACTTGGAGCTTTGGAGAACCACTACAAGGAGGTTTACTACAACAAGGAGCATAAGTTAAGGGTTGTTCGATCTACCATCGAATCACGCTTCAAAAGCATGAACTTGAAACTCTTGTATGCTCTCTTTAATATAGAGATCATGTTAGATTTAATTAGGATGGTCCTAGTATGGATTTCATGCTCTTTCCATGCTTTGTATTTTCGTAAATACAGTCTTCCGCTGCGTATATTGCATGTAGATTAAACAGAGATTTCCTTCAGTAAATCCATTAAAAAGAATTGTCAATAAAAACAAATGAGTTATTTGCAACAGAGAACTACATTAGGTTTACATAATAAAACACATTGAAGTCTTACGTTAACATAATAAAACACATTCAAGTCTCTTGTGAAGATAGTATACCAATCTTATATACAGTTTCAAAAAACGAGTGCAAAAAACAAGCTTGGAAAAGCTAATACATGCTTATGAGTTCTCTATAGGGGTGCATTTGGTCCGAATACGGCTCAAATATGATGCTTACCATATTCATATCCGTTTACTCATCTCGGATACGGATACAGATATAACTCGGTAAAAAAAAATTTGTATCCATATTTGCTAAAATCGAATATGGTTACGAATATACATGCAGATACAAAACGGATATAAAAAAACTAGATGATATTGAAATAAATATATTTCATGTGATACAAAAGAGTTCATTAATATGTTCATTATAACCGAAAAGCTAAAATTAGACATATTGATCATCAAAATTAACCACAAATCCATAACCTAAAAACTAAAACTATCGTAAAAATATGACCAATATGTATTTTGATATTTCGAATACGGATCCCCATATTTTACTACAAAACCATATTTGTAACAATATCCCATTGATTATAGATTTGAATAACCATATTTATATCCTAACAGATATGGTTACAAATATTTCCTTAGATTCGGATACGGTTTAACACCCCTAGTTTTATACCATCACCATCTGAACGCAAATTCTCATAAGATCTGTGCTTGGACTAAACCAGGTGTTTTTGTGCACTTCTATAAAAATCATGACAAGCATACGTCTACGTCTGTATGGTAGATAGGAAATCTACCACACGCCACACCTTGTTAAATACCCTTCATCGTTCCAAAGGATCAGATAGAAAACTTGGGCAATTAAATCCTGGCACTTTGCTGGCGTTTTATGTATAGTAGAAAACTTTCAGAAAGAAAAGAATGGTCTTTAACAGTTGCTTCGTGAATCACCGGTTCTAGAATTTACTTTCACTATCAAGTTCAGTTTCACAACTATCGCATAACAGAGATTTTTAATACGAGACAAGAGTTTGAAATCAACTACTCAATATAGCCAATAACAACCAGTTCACAAAATAGCAGTCTAGAGCATCAAAAAGTACTTCCACATTCAGAACATATCATGACTGTCTTCCAAGTTCAAGTTCAAAACATCAGACATTTCGCCAAAACAAAGTACTCCAATTATGCCACAAGAGTGCTGGCAGTTGTAGATTCACTGTAACAGAAGAAATTATTTAAGTAAGTAAACTTGTAAACTTTAAAGAAAGAAGATGCTAGACACGAAAACAATAATAGAATATGGAATTAGACTCCAGACCACCACATCTTTATATACAAACAAAAAAGAACAAGCTATAGAAAAGAAAGATAATGCACAGAGCAATTTTGAGGCTATTGCAGAAAGATAATGCAGTATTTGTATCACATCATTGATCCAAAGGATTGAGTCTGAGTTGCGCCAAAAATTATAAGAGAGACACATCTAGATCTATAGGGTGAGGGGTCCAGATGCAGTAATACAGGAGAAACCAGTAGCTTTCATCCATACAAAAAGTCATGCAGAAGGAGGAACATAGGATAGCAGTATGGGTGCCTACCACCGCATAGGAAAGTAAATACTAGTCATGGAAGCTACATTTGCATGAAAGAAGCAAGAAGGCCGAACAGCTTTTCTTGACTTGAATCAACTCCCGAACATGGGATTAGCCTCCAGACCACATTTTTACATGCAAGTAAAAGGTACGCCAGAAAAAAGAAAGATTTGCTTGTATTTTAGTATCTTAAGGATTCATGTCTGCTTATGGATCTCAGTAATATAATAGTCTCTCCAGAGCCAGTTCAAGGCTATTGCAGAAAGATAACGCAGCATTTGTATCACATCAGTAATCCAAATGACGAAATTTATGTAGTGCACTAAAAAATTATAAGAGTTATCTAGAGGCACAGGGTAAGGGGTCAAAAATCAGGAAAAGAAAAAAAAACCACTAGTTCATCCATAAAGAACAGCCATGGCAGGAGAAAGAACATAGTCCAGAGATATGGGTGAAAGGTTATTGATACTGGATCTATACACAGCACAAACAATATATAATGTCTTTAATCATTAAAAAAAAGTTACACGCAGTTAAGGTTAACAATTCACTTGCAAAAGGTGTTAGATATTAACTAATTCATAATTACAATAGGTTTCCACATGGAAAACTATTAATTCTACATAGGTCCACTGTCTTGCTACTTTACAAATCATTTGAAGCTCCATGACTTGCCTTGTTCAGTTAATCAACAAGAAAATTACTCAGCAATAAAACAGCATATCATAAAGTGAGAAAGTAAGAAAGCAAAAAATTATAAAAGATAATAGCTGGCATTGCAAGTATCACTCACTATTTCCACACCGGGGGGAGCTTCTTGGTCCTCTTGTAGTAGCGAGCCAACCGATGAATCCTGCTCTCCACAAGGATCAACCTAAACTTGGAATCCTTGTCCTTCCGGTTCCTTTCCAAGTGCTTTCTAATAGCAACTGCCTTCTTTATCAGATGGTAAAGATCCTCGGGGATCTCCGGAGCAAGGCCTACCAGAGTAACATCGGGTTTACACATAATTACAGAAAAAAAAACTGACGCAAATTTTATCATGTTCAGCTAGACCACAAAGTTATTAGCTAGCTTTTGCTGGAGAAATTTTGATTTTTGAGACATGATGATGCGTAGATAAAATCCTTCAAGTAATGAATTTCAAATCTCTAATAGGAAACATGACTTCAAATTATTTTAAAAATAATTTCTGGATTTCATATTCTAAACATGACTGTATAGAAAATGACACCACTTTTATAGAGGTGCAACGGATCCCAAAGCATCTCCTCTTCGTTTCAAATAGCAGATGCTAAAATTGTCAATGTGAAGAGTGACATTTATACATAAGCAGCCAATGTCAGCAATAATAGTTTTGCATAGGGGTTGTTTGGTAGGAAAGAAAATGGATGGCAACCCCTTTATGGAAAATACTTTCTAAAAGTTTTTTGGGTGGATCGGAGCAAAGGCCTAGGTCTCCTAGGCTTCTGCCTGCCTAGGTGTTGAAAGCGTCTAGAGGAGCAGAGACTGCTTATGTAAACTGGACCGCTAGGTCTTAGCCGTGATTTCCTCTATTGCTGTCTCCACATCCTCTAACCTCCTCTGACCCCCACCGACTAAGAACACCTCCAAATTCTCCGACCTTCAGCATAATCTCCACCACCCTTAAACAAAAAAGAATTTCTCCTAGGTCTTGCACTTAGGTTCTAGGCGCCAGCTTGGCACCTAGCGATGCCTAGCACTTTCGATTACATTTATTGTAATTAAAAAATTAAAAAAAGAAAAACAACTAGGTCCCGCGCCTAGGCCTTATAGCACTTTCTGTAACCTAAAATTGAGTAATTTCAATAGTCATTTCTCAAAAGTGGATGACCAACCCATTTTTTATGGAAAACCCATTTCCGGCCCAAATTGTAGGAAATGGCTTGGAAACCCATTTTGAATTCCCCCCCTTAGAATTTGGTTTCTTTCTTTTGATGAAAACAACAAAAACTGGGTTTCCAACCCATTTCCTATAATTTGGGCCAAATACGAGTTTCTAGCAAATGGGACCATACATCCACTTTTGGAAATATGGTTACCTAAAAGTACTCCAATCCAAATAAAATGAAAGAGACCACTTCTAAAAGATGGTTTCTATAAATGGGTTTCCACTCATCTACTACACAACCAATCAGCCCCTTGATGGAAAACAATGTTACGGTAAGCGATGCAATGTTCTAGTAAGTGCTAGGCACCAACCCTACGCCTAGTGCCTAGGCACTTTTTGTTTAACTGGAGATGAAAGAGATTTTGTTGAGGGTTGGAGGTAGAGGAGTTGTTCAAGGTCGTTGAACATCAAGAAGATAAAGAGGATATGGAAGCAGCAACAGAAGAAATCAGACCACAACCTAAACTTTGCAGCCTACATAACGTCCCATGCTTCCTTAAGCGATCTCAAGACCTAGGCGGAGAGCCTAAGTTATGCCTAGGCCTAAGCAAGAGCCTAGATCACCTTTTTAAAACTATGATGGATAATATATACCAACAAAGAAATTTATATATAATAATCTAATAAAAGAGGAGCCATGGGCTGAGAGAACTTCAAGCCCATTCATTGATATATTTAAACAGAGAGAAGATATGCTCAATGAATTAATTTTAAAAGTTTAAAACAAGTAAAAATAATAGCAACAATGGGAGAATCTTTGAGCATTATAATTGACAGTTGTAGTAATGATATTTTCATACCCACACTGTTTTATTTAAAATTAACAACCATTCTCAAGAACTATAAATTTCAAAGAAAAACATTACTAAATGGTCCAAATCACAATTGAACACTGCCCTGATTCCTTACCAAAGATAATTTCTTAAAACTTAAATCTTCAAGGTTTTATCAAAACAATCGATGCTAAAATCGTAAATTATGCTTGTGAGTTTTAATGCTAGGTGATTTTGCTTAGGCTGATAGACAATGCTGCGAACTTGAGTAATAGAGCCAAAAAGCTAATCAGTTTGTGCCCCGGAAATGTCCTACATCATTATATAAAGGAAGAAAGACAAGAGGTTATTATACTGATATTAATGTAAAATTCCATCTGGCAACGTGCCATCACATTTATTCTCTATTTTCATCCATTTTCTTAATAATCTTCTACTGTAACATATATAGAGCAAGAATGCTCAGATCTCATGGAAATATGGTCATTAATACTTCATAGTATAGTACCATTTAGTGTTTACAATGGTTCCCTTCTAATGGTTATTGCTATGTATACAATTTTAGTCACAAGCAGTGTTATCGAGGCGCAAGGCGCAATGCGGGGCGCATAGGTCCCTTACGCGCACCATGCGCAAGGCGCACAACGAGGCACGCGTCTCACTAATTGAGGCGCATAACTCAAACTAATATTTGCCAACATCATAAGACAAAAAACATATAAGCAACATATTAGTTACCTACATCCAAAATTATGAGAATATCAACTTAAATCATCAAATTATGCTAACTAAAATTTTAAAGTAACAAAAAAGATACAAGAAACATGTATTTAAATCATCAAATTAAGTGATTAACAATTATGAGCATATGTTTATAAATTGTCACATAAAAATACTAAGAAATATAATTAACAAACATGACTGTTCATAATTTTCTAGTTAGTATTCTTAATTGATATTTGCTACTTAGCATGAAAAGATAAAGAATGAATGTAACAATTACATATTTACATGTTCATAATTTGCTAGTTAGCATGCTAAATGGAGAAGAAAGTTACAATTAGCAAACAAGTATACTAAATTACTAATTATTGTTTCCTTTTTATAGGTTAAACATGAAAAGATGAAAATAGATTAGCAACTAGTAACAAAGAGTATATTACATGATATAAATATGTAATTATGTAAATTATTTTAAAAAAATAGAAGAAAGAGTATGTTACATAACGCAGGTGCGAGGCACGAGCGAGCGCGCCTCGCTGCGTGCAGCGCCTCGCCTCGCGTGCGGGGCACATTTCCCCAGGCCGAAGCACCCCTCGCCCGGGGGTGCGCGCTTCAATAAGCCTGGTCACAAGTTCCTTCAAAACTCTTTGTTAATCGTAATTTGATGATAATTCGCTCTAGATCTTATTTTTTTCATGTATGTTGCTATACTTTTGGTGGATTTAGAAGCTATGACAAATGACAAGGATTTACTGTTATTTTCCTCATACAACTGGGAATCATGCTATAAGAGCATTCTGATAATTCTATTGGTGCCAAAGCCACCAAAGTTGAGGACATTAGGGTGGACTCCAATTGTGGAGAATAGGTGATGTCAGTGGATTAGGTGGACAATGGATTTGATAGGGAATAGGTAATGGCGGCAAGGTTGTGGAAAACATAAAGCAAACAGAAATGAGGTGGCACCATTCGGGCCTTTTGGTGCTTTAGCGGCAAACATCAGGAAAAATGTGAAGTAAGAAAGCGATCCAGCTTAAACTTAAATATGTATACGTACTAAAAAAGAAAATTTCAAAATATCTAAAAAATCTACAAATACATATTTGACAATTCATTGAGACCCTAAACATGAAATAGACATGTTACAATCACACAATATCAACAAAGTATTGCACAAAACGAAATGACATACATGTTTACCAAAGAATACTATTACTTCTCATTCTTTCAACTTTCAAGTTCCTCTAAAGGAGTGGAGTGTTACTGGGCTTCGTCGACGCGGTGGAGGGCTTCGTCGGGCAGAAGTGGGAGCTTCAACATTGTAGCGAGGAGAGCCGGAAATCAAAAGAGATGAGAGGAGGTGGCGACGATGGAGTTGAGTTCTAGCGTCCCCCCCCCCTCCATAGATAGATACGAGAAAGAGAATTGAGATATTGAGTGTTTATTAAGTAAAACGGGTTAGATTTGGGTCGAGTCTCAACATAGAATAAAAATCTATTTTTTAAAAAGCAGATAAAAGCCTTAAAACGGATTAAATTCTCTATTGCCCGCTTTTAACCAGCTATTGCCTGCTTTTTCAGATATTTGGCCGCTCTTGTGAGCGAAAAGCATCGGGACTGCTTTTCACATCCACTTTTAGCCAAAAGGTCTTGAATCCTAGCCAGTAGCCACTACCGCTAGAAGCCCCCTCTAAAGCGTCGCTATAAGGCACTTTCTTAAACACCAGATAATGGTGCATCTAATTATCTAAGATGAGGAATACATAGGGTTTCCATCTAGTTGCAAGAGGACCTACCCCACTCCCTAAAAGGGAGGCTCGACATTCTTGCGGGCTAGTACATGGCGACAGTTCCTCAGATCCTAAGCCTTAGTTCTCTATGTCCCTGCTAACCCTCTCCCTCAATCAGTCATATGTTCCAACAATGGAGGTACAAAACTCTAAAAAATCATGAGGGTGATTTGACAAGGGAAAACTAGTGCAATGGCTCATCCAACCATCAAAATCCTCTCAGACACTCCAACAAGTGCATGCAAGTTATGTCGTAGTCACCCAACAATGTTCT